TTTTCTTTTCTTTTTTCCTTTCATTTTTTCCCGTTTGACTCCCCAATTGGCTCCAAGTTACTGCCACGCCTTCTTCGGGATCTCCGCGTGCGGGTACTTCGCCTTCCACACGCCCTCGTTCACCTGCGAGTAGTCCCAGTTCTTGGCGCACTCCTTCGCCCACCACACACGGCGCATCATGGACGTCTCCTTGTTGCTTGCAACATTCGTGTAGGCGAGCGAAGAGAGCGCAGAGCCGACGCAGAAGCCGAGAACCGTGAATCCGGTGAAGGTGCTGAAGAGGACAAACCCCGTGTTGCGGCGTGAGAGGATGTATACGGTGCCGAGCGCCGTGCTGAGGGTGGCAGTCGTCAGGGCAAATGTGAGCTGCTTGCGCCGCACCCGCCACTGCCGGCCCCAGATACCGCCCTCCTCCTCAAACCGCAGGAAGTCGCTGGGATACATCATTGGGAGATCCGCCACGAGAACCTTACCGTCTTTGCCTGTCATTCTTCCAGGTTGCCCCCCTACACCGCGTCGTGGTAGTAACAAGAATACTAATACTAAAAATACCTGCTCTCTAAAGTTTCAAGCGTGCGCGCAGGAAGATGCGGGCGTAGCTCGTAGTATAATCAGATGTCCCTTTCCTTTGCTGTTATCGGTAGTGATGGTGTGTGTGTGTGTGTGTGTGTGTGTGGGAATACACAGCAAACGATTTTTTATGGTTGTTGTTGTTGTTAAGGGAAGAGGCGCAAGAGAAAAAAAAAAAAGGAGTGCGCATTGTGTATTCAAGGCGATGAACGACGCATCCCCAGCACACACACACACACAGAGAGAGGGAGAGACAGGGACAGTCGGGGTGGCACGCATGCACACACCCAACGGAGAGACATCTACGCCGCTCCGACGGCCCCCATCGCTTTCGTGCGGCCCCGTGAAAACATGTGGGTATGCATGTTAATTGTTGCAACTTCATCGTTCATTCTTTACCCTCACTGCCTCACCGTGGGTCTGGGAGCGAACCAACCGAAAGGTGCCCTCCCCGCTTCTCTTTTCCCCATCCAGTCCTCTCTGCAAATCACGGACGCGTACGCGGTAAATCCCGACACACACCCAGAGGCACCCCACGTGGGCGAATAAGAAAGCGTGAAGTGCACTACTGCTGGCACATAAGCATTCGTTTGTTGTTTTTTTTTCTGCTTCTTCTTCGCTTAAAAAATGGTTCCTCCTGTTATTTACTTTTCCTTCATAGACCACGAGAAAACGGAAGTTATTCACGCCCACACACACACACTCTTTCTCTCTCCCACACACACGTACACGCTTTCACCCGTCCCTTGTCCTTCGCACGCGGGGCCCTTCCCGACCCAATTTCGACAGCGGCCCGTCTTCCTTCGCGCCTCTGCGTGTGTCTGGGCCTCGCTTCCGTCCTTGTTTCTTTGTTGTTGCTGTTGGACGCAACTTCAATCTGCCTCACACGCAACACACAGTTGGGTGGGGGGGGGAGAGAGCGCGGGAGCCGCAGACACGCTCTCTCTCGTCGACGGTCCGAGACGCTCCCGGAGACCTCTCCATGCGTCACACAGAATACTCCTCGTCGTTTCTTTTTTCGTCTCTTCGTTTTAATCTTCTCTCTTTGCTGTTGTTGTTGTTGTTGTTTTTTTATCTTGCCTTCGCCGTGCTGTTGATTGTTACGGCCTTTTTTTTTTATTTATTTCCTCTTACTTTCTTTCGTTACTTACAGATGGATTACTTCCTTATTCTCTCCTCTTCTGGCAGTCATTCTTTCCCCACCTCTCTCTCTCACCGCCGCGTCAGGTATTTCTCTTCGCCCGCCTTTGCTCGGGGCCCCCCACGCCTTGAAGTAACAAGCTCCTCTTCTCTTCACGTGTGTGCGTGTGCGTGTGCGGCCCCGTTCCCTTTTGCACGCTATCGTGCTCCTCTAATAGCGGCGGCGCGGCGGGCTGCGACTGCGGCTGCGGCTGCGGCTGCGGCTGCGACTGCGGTCGCGTTCACGTTCACGTTCACGTTCACGGTCGCGGTCGCGTTCGCGGGCAAAGCGCTTCGGGCTCCGGCTCCGGCTCCGGCTGTGGCTGTGGCTGTGACGGCGCCTGTGCCGTTCGCCTGAATCCGAGCGAGACCGAGGGCGGCGGCGGTCCTCGCGCTTTTCGACATCGCGCCTTTCGTTGAGTTCACGCCGATCATTGAAGTCACGCCGGTCGTTGAATTCGCGCCTTTCGTTGGGTTCACGCCGATCATTGAAGTCACGCCGTTCGTTGAATTCACGCCGATCATTGAAGTCACGCCGGTCGTTGAAACCCCGCCGGTCGTTGTAGTCGCGTCGGTCGTTGTAGTCGCGTCGGTCGTTGTAGTCGCGTCGGTCGTTGTAGTCGCGCCGGTCGTTGTAGTCGCGCCGCTCGTTGTAGTCGCGCCGGTCGTTGTAGTTGCGGCGGTTGTCGCGCGGGGTGGAGCGGTACGCAGGGGCCGTGGCACGGCACTGCAGCGCCACGTGCCCCTCCCTGTCGCACTTGAAGCAGCGCTGGCGCTGGCGCCGCTCGATCTCGACGCGGCAGCCGCTCAGCTCCGTGCCCGTCATCCGCAGCGCCGCCCCACACGCGTCCTCGTTGGGGAACCCGACGAACGCAAAGTGCTTCTTGTCGTGGATGAAGACGTCGACGGGCTCCCCGACGGAGGCGAAGAAGGCGCGAAGCTCCTCCTCCGTTGTGTTTGGCGGCAATCCCTTCACCACTACTTTCGTCTGCAGCACGTTCTCACGCGGGGCCGTGCGCTTCTTCTCCACCTCAATGGCAACACCGTTCAACTCCCGGCCACTCATCTGCAAGGCGGCTTCCAGGGAGTCGGTGTTGTCAAAGCCGACAAAGGCGTAGCGGCGCCGAGGCTCTAGGAAGAGGTCGGCAATGGTTCCAAGCGGCTCAAAGAGCTCACGCAGCTGCTGTTCTGTGGTGTCCTCTGCGATGTGGCGGACGGCAACCTTGAACTCCTCACGGAAACGCTTGCGGTTATCGCGCACCATTGCATCCCTTCCCTCCGTCCTCTCTGCCTCGCCCGCGCCGTTTTTGTGGTTGTCCTCTGCATCGTTGCCCTCACTGCCGTGTTGTTGTCCCTTCGCCTGCTCCTGCTCCTGCTTCGCCACCCGAATGGCAGCACCGTTTTCAAATTCCATGCCGTCCATGTTCAGCGCCTCGTTGAAGTCGTCTTCCTTCTCAAATGACAGCGTCGCGGCAGTCTTCTCTAGTGTGCATCGCGCCACATCGCCCACACGGCTAAAGAAGTCGCGCACAGCCTCCTCACTCGTGTCCTCCGGAAGACCACGTACCTGAATCGTGTATGACATCACCGCTTTACCTTGCCTGTAGATCTGTTTCCTTTCCCACCGCGCTCCTTCTGTGCGTAAAAATAAACCACCAGCTGCGTTCGCCTTTCGAACCTGATCGCTATCTGTCCCTCCCTATCGCCTCGCTGGTAGCTTTTCCTCACTCACTGCTTGCTTCCGCTTATGTAGCGCTTATTAGCTTATGTTGTTTGCTTGCTTTTCACCTACGGAGTGTCTGACTCCCGTGCACGTCCCACCGAAATTAGTGGTGGTGCGACGAAGTGTCTTCTTCTTACTTGTTGCAGTCGGCGGAGCGAGAGATGCCGGTCCCCCAATTACCGTAGCTCTTTACTGTAGGATCTGTTGTTTCACCAGCAGGAGGGGAGTTCCAAGGCAAGAACCAGGTTGGCAAGTTGTAGTGCAGCAGGTGTGTGTTTGTTTGTGTGTTTGTGGTTGTCATCAGCCCCGGGGCGGCGAGCAGCAGAGAAGGGCGAAAGTACGAAAAAAACCGGCAGCACCACGTCGCAAGTCCCCCCACCCCGCACACGCGCCCGACGCCGGGCCCCGCATCCCAACCGCCCCACGGCTCGGCCGACAGGAGCCGCGCCTCCTCCGCCTCCCCACCGCGCGCACTTCACCACCCAAAAGACAACTGCGTGCGTGCGTGCGTGCGTGCCGGCTGCTCCCTCCGCGCCGCCAACGCCACCACCCGGCGCGCGCGCGCGAGGGCAGAAACGGGCGGGCGTCCGTCATAAGCCGGATCCACGGCTTTTCTCGGTTTGCGTTTGCCTGCGCGCCGACCCCAGCCCCCGCAGACCCGCACACACCTTCCCAACCGCCGCTGAGGAAGGCGATCAAAGTACAAGAACAAAGTCGCAATAAAAACAACAACAACATAAATCATCAGTCACACTCATACCCACCGCCGCCGCGCACAAGTCACCCATGACGCGGTGCGACGTCGCCTTGACGGTTGGGCCGCAAAGAGGGGGCGAGAGAGAGAAAGTAAGAGCGATAGTAAGGAACTCAGGAAACCTCCTCGCCCAATTCGCTTAGTCAACCTCACTTGAATGCTCATAACATTATATATATATATATATATATTATGTTTATTGTCAAGCAGGTATAAACCTCCACAGCACAGCGGCTACCAACACCACATCGCTACTAAGGCTCATGCGTTTTTGTTTTGGTTTTTCGTATGTTTCTCTTGCTTCAGTCTCCCTGCGGTGGTTCACGTCAAGGTGCGCGACGCACGCTGGGACGAGAGAAAACACGTAACATTAATGGAAAGAATTACTTGCACCGCCGACGCAAGGCCAAAAGAAAGGGCTGCCCAACCGCTTCAGCGGAAACATGGCGCTGCTCCTTCCTCTGCAAGAGGCGGTCTACCCAGTAGCCTGACAAGGACCAAACGTCTGGAAGGTACACGGTGAATAGCTCCTCAAACTCGCCGCGCTGGTGGTGCATCTCACGCTGGGAGTAGCGCACCAGCAAGTAGTCCAGTCCTTCGCCATTGTACACGCCGTGCTCCTCATCAAAGAGTGTAGGATCCTTCGTGTATCGAAGTTCCACCCCTCGCAGCTGCGTGTTCGTAAACGTAGACGGAACTATACTCACGGCTTCACCGAAGGCCGCAGCCCCTCCCCCGGCACTGTACGTATTCAGGTAGTCATACGCTCGCCACCGCCCCTCTGCGGAAGGGTGCCGCTCAGTCACCCGCAGAAGTGCGACGAACGGCAAGGCAAGCAAAGCAACAAATCTATCCCTGAGAGAAGCGGGAGATACCGGGAGGTACCCCGCCTTCTCGCTCACGTGCCCGGGTGGCCGCGCAAGGTGCGCCTTCTGAAACCGATTGATGCCCGTCATGGCTGCGTAGGCGTCAATGAACAAGTTGAGCGAAACCGTGGCGTTAGCGTGCCCCTTCTCTGGGCGGTTGACGCAGGAGGAGCCGTCACGAACGTCTTCCACAATGACACCGTGCAGTCTTGCCAACGCGCGGGCGCCGGGGTAGTTGTACATGCTGACGCCCACCGACAGCACCAGAGCCGCGAGCTGCGCGAGGCACATCCCCCATAACACAACCGCCAGAGCGCGCCTAATTCGCCCATGGGGGGCAGCACCGCGTGTACGATGTTTGCTGTTCGCGGCGGCCACTTGCGGCGCGGTGCACGCGTCCCACGTGAAGGCGACGGCGTAGGCCACGGGCGCCAAAAAAGCCGGGAACACCACCATAATAAACCGCATCTCCTTGTGCGGCAGGAAGCTGTAGAGCACAACGAAGAGGGTTGCCGGGAGAAGCAGGGCGCGCAACCGCACGCTCGTGCCCAGCCAAACGGAAAGCAGCGTCCCAAGTGGAGCGGAGGGCGGCGGCGGCGGCGCGCGGGCCCCAGTGCGGGACGCGGTCACGCGACGAATCAGCCGCCGGCCCACGTCCCAGCACGCCAGCCCCACCAACAGCAGCAGCGGAGGATACGCGAGCAAAAAGGCCAGCGGCAGGGCGTGGGTAAAGTACCAGTGCCACGGCAACCGCCCCCAACGCCATGACTGATTGTGAAGGGTGTTAAACAGCAGGACGACGCCCTCGGGCCACACCCAACCCCCCCAGAGGAAGCTGTCCAAGACAACGCTGCAGCACACCGCGAGCGTCATGGAGAAAAGGCAGACCACCACGTACCGAAGAATGCTGGCCTCGCGCTGCAGCAGGAAAAAGAGTCCCATGGACCCAAGCAGCAGTACGACGTCACAGCGGAAGAGCACGGTGCAGACGCTCAGCAACGCAAGGGAAAGACAGTGCCTCCCACGCAGTGTGCATCCAAAGGCCAAACTACAAAAAATGAGTGCGGCGGTGTTTGGCAACGCGCGCGTCGCGTAAAACGACAGGTGGAACTGCAAGGCACATAACACAAAAAAAACAGAAGCGGCACGACAACGCTTCCGCGCCCACTTCGCAGTGGACCGCAGAAATTTTCTCTCGTCCTCATCGATGCCACCCGCAACGTACCAGAGGGCACCGCAAACCATAAACCCCCCGACAAGCCGACACGCGTGAGAAAAGAGCATGGGGCTCTGCAGCGCGGCCCACTCCATGGAGAGCGGCGGCTCCACGCGTCGCCCATCCGGCACACCCCGTGCCATGCCTAGGAAGGAGACAAGGCACTTGACAACCGCACCCATGGACTCCACAGCGAGTACGCAGAGCAACGTCGCCAGAACAACAACGTACGGCCCCCAGAATGTTCGCGGGACAACGCCAGGAAACACAAGATGATCTCCACAGGCGGTGTCTGGGCAGAAAATGAAGTCGTGCATGGCCTGCATACAAAAGCTCTCCTCCACTTTGGTATACGGACACAGCAGCTCGCACAGAGTCACAGAAAGGCACAAAACCAAAAAACAAAGCCACGACTGAAGCTCCATAACGCCCCTAGGAACTTCTCCAAAAGTATCGCGCAATAAAAAAACAAGGAAACAAAAGCAGGAAAAAAAAATAATAATAATAAACCAAATTCAGTTGCACCACGTACAAGCGCAAGACATACCCCACTTCTTTGATACAAAGGTCCTGCCACGACCAAACACACACACACACACATTGCAAAGAGGGAGACAGCTCGCACTGCAACCACCGCAGTTCCAACTACACAAAGATGATATCGTCCAGATCGGAAAGAAACAGACACGAACACGCAGGCACACACACACACTTACACACGGGGAAAACAAAGGGAAAAAAACCACGCGTAGGAAATGCTAGATGTTGTCTTCCGAGAGGCTCCCGCCGCGACCTCCACCAGCGTGTCTTTCTCTTTCCTTTCGGCTGTTGCTGTTGCGTGGGTTCCTCTCCCTCCCTCCCTCTCTCCATCCGCGGCGCCACTAGACGAAGTACGACGGCGAGGGGCAAAGGCACTCCGTCCGCAGCAGCCCCACTGCATGCCGTCACGGTGCCGCGCAGAAGGCCGGCGCAGCACCGGCGAAAAACGCAGGCACCCACGGAGCGCCGCGTTACGGCAGACCGTCGTGCCCGCTACTGGGCCCCGTCTCGCGTCCAGTACACCTGCCCCTCCATCCTCCCCTCGTCCAGCTGGCGGCCGCGCTCCACCTCGGGGAGGCGGTGGTTCATGAACACCAGTTGCATCTCCTCCGGCGTCATGTCCTTCACCCAGCCCCTCGCGTTCAGGTACC